CAGGCTCTCCCAGAGCTGGGCCGGCCTTTTGCAAATCTTTCCTTGTGGAGGGCCAGGGCCTGGAGGAACTTGTCAGGGAGCCCGGGACATGGGAAGAGGGAGAGGACGACATTGGCCTCGCTAAGCTGGCGGGATCATGCGGCCTCGGCCTCCACGAGCCTTCCCACGGGGTTTCTGAACTCCGGTCTGTTTACCGAAAGCCACCAAAGCAGGGGGTTTGGAAGGAGCCTGAAGGTCTCTTTGAACGCGACATTCCTCTCCCTATCGGAGGAACCAGCCACAGTTCCTGAAAGCGGGGTGCGAGGGAGCGGCTGCGCGGCGGCGTCAGCGAGGCGTGGGGGCAGAAACAAAACCCCTTTTGCTCCCGAACCCGTCAGCAAGCCAAGGCACAGCCAGGCAGCGGCCTGCTTAGGCGCGGGCCCCAACAGCCACCAGCCGTCCTCTGCCCTTCCCGGGAAACGGAAAATGCTGACCCTCCCCGGTGAGAGCCGACACCCGGCCTCCCTGGAGGGCAGGTCTGGGAGCAAGCAGGCGCCAGCACCGAGCCCCCAACTCCCCCCAGCTCCCCGCCATGGTCACCCAAGGCCGGCTTTGGGGAGGTTTTAGGCTTTGAAAAAACATAGCGGGTCTAATTTCCAAAAAGCCCAATGCACCCTGAACACCACCCTCCGTTATTCTGTCCCCGAACGCTCGTCTGTCCGCAGGCAGCACCCTGACCCTGAGGGAAGGGCCGCTCACCTGCTCTGGCGCCTGCTGGTTGGAAAGGACACCCCGCTGATGAGCAGCCGCTCTCAGGGTCTGCTCGCAGCTGCTCGTTAGGGAGTGTCGCTGCGGAGCGCCTGAGGCAGCTGGTGAACAGGCGCGGCCCCCAGGGGTCGGCTGGGAGGCAGCAAGTCCATTAGTCCTATTAGGGCGTCTTGTCTCGGGAAACGGGCTGAATTATTCAGGAGGCCGCAGCCCATTGCCTCGGGCCACCCCTGCCTCCACTGCCCCCGATAGAACCCGGGTGGGAAGGACCCAGGTGTACAGTCCCGTCCCCGTCACATCCCTAGCTGTGTCTGCAGTAGGGGAGCCGGGGTCCCCGTGGCCTGTGACCACCACCCATATGCAAGGGGCTGAGGTCTGGGGAGACCTCCCCTTGACACGCGGGGACGGACGCCCCTCCCCCCTTCCACTGGGATGTGCCCAGATTGGTACCCAGTGCCCATAAAGGGCTGGAAGGTTCGGGAAGCGGGCTATTGGACACCACCCGGCCACGCCCGCAGGTAGGGGCTCGGGGACCCTTCCCCACAGCACGCGTCCTGCCTTGGGGTTTGGGAAATACTTCGAGGCTGAGCTCTGGGGGGAAGCTCTGCAGAGCCCCTGTTCCAGGGTCATGACCCCAGGATGCCAAAAAGTCTTAGCGTGACATCACTTTCCAGCGAACAGGACGGCCAGTGCATGTGGGGTTCTGGACAGAGGCTGAGCTGCCCACCTGTGACAAA